TTCAATAATTTATTATTATGTGCAATGCTGATTTTCCATTTGCCAATTGTAGCAAAATGCCAAAAAGGACAGGTTAAGACAGAAAGAAAGAAAGAAAACTAAGGAGGATACGTGACATGTATTCTAGTTGAACTGGCAAATGCAACAGACCATCGTCTCTGTTTGTTAATTTTATAGACATCTGTTGATTTCTGACATCAGACTGCGCATATGGGTGTTGAAATCAATAAATCAGTAAGCATGTAAGCAAGTAAAAGGTGCTACAGTGGACCTTTTATTTTTTCTAAATACTTATGTGGCCTTTTTGACTTGGAGTGTAAATTAAAATCTGGAGATTAAATTACACTTGTTTCATGAAATTCAGGGAGATGAAACCTCCAATGCAAATGTTGTGTTATAACCGTGTAAGAACAAAAGCTTATTGTATTCCTCTTACTTACCTGTTCTTCTTTGGTGTACAGCTTAAAGCACTCATCCAAGGTACAGCTATGCTGCTGAAGGTGCTGCTGCTGCTGGTTCCTCACGCTCTCTGCATCTTTCACTACTTCCTCCTGGATGCTGCCAAATAAACTGGACCACACACAAAGTGGATTGGTCTAATTCAGTGGCAGAATTGTGTTTACCATGTCACCCAAGATGACAACAGCCAACACTATAAAATTTTGAGTTCTGCACATTTTTAAAGCATTAAAATGTGTTCAGTCCTTACCATTCTTTGGTGCTTGGCTCCCATTCGATAACAAGCTTCACATGGGGGGGTCCTCCTGGGCCGCAGAACTTCAGAGCTCTACAAAACAGCGGAGAAAAGCAGGAAGGTTATCTTTTAACTCTGAATACATATTTTATGATTTTAGTTTTCTGAGTGTGATAGCATTCTGTGATCTTCAAAAGCCTGAAATAAACCACAATGAATGAAGTTTAAAAAAAAAGAAAAAAGAAGAACGTTAAAATGTGTGTTGCTGTCATGCAACAGCTGCTCCTGTGACAGCTGCTATAGTGCATCCAGAGAGTACAGTGATGTGAAAAAGTGTTTGCCCACTTCCCGATTTCCTGTTGATTTGTATGTTTGTCACACTTTAATGTTTCAGATCATCAAACACATTTAAATATCAGGCAAAGATAACACAAGTAAACACAAAATGCATTTCCTAAATTACAATTTTGAGTGTCATGGCAGAAGTTGTGGATACTTACAATGTACATTTTTTAAAAGAAAATTTGCAAGAATTTTTTAAGCAAATGTTTTTCACTTTGTCATTTGTGTGAAAATGAAGTTATTCTATTTAGGAATAAGGGAGTAATATAACAAAAGGCCAATCATGGCTATTGCACAGTATTAGATAGATATTTATCTTCGTGCAAGTTATCAGCACATGCTTTTCCACATTAAAAACACCAGAAAAACACATCCTTTAGTCAACTCTTCAGTTTCAGTTCAAGCAGAATGAAATGTGAGCTTCTGACTAATCGTATTAAAGCCCATCAATATTTGCACTTTTTACTTTTATTGTAATTTATTCCACCATAATATGCACACAAATATGTACACCCTGGCAGGAGGATCACAGAGTGACAACGACCAAAGCTGAGACCTGGTTTCTCATCCGGGATTAGTATGCAAAAATATGATTTTTTTTCTCTGCCCTAATGTAGCGAGGGGCACGGTGTTTATATTTCAGGGCTTACCTTCATTGCTTTCATCTCAGGAAGAAAGAAACAGCATCAGTATTCAACAGCCAAGCAGCTCTGATGGAAAGGCCAAGGTGCACTTAAAAATTACTGAATGCTAAGGACAGAATGATGGATCACCACGGGCAGATTTTTGGAGCCATGTCAAAGGTTTTTCTTTTCTAGATGGACATGAAAGGTGCTTGAGACTTCAAGCACAGCTAAATATTGACTGATTCTGACAATGAATAATTTCATTCCATCTTCAAAGCAGAACTCACATTGTTGTCTCAGTATTGTTCCCTACGAACGCATTTAATGCACTCGCTACTAGCAGATGTCACACTTCTGTGACCTGTCAGCACAATAATTAGAGAAACGGACACTAAAAACTAAAAACGCCACCGCCTCTACAGATGCTCTTGTCGAAAAAGTCATCGCACAGTTAATTCCTCCCGGGAATCATTTGAATTTCTTTAACTGAAAGATTGCTCTGTGTGTAAACAGAGCACTACCACAAAATTAAATCGAATCCAGATCCCAGAGCATCAGCAGGAGCTCTGAGTGGCCAGTTAATTGTCTACAAGTCAATAATTATTTAAGTGTCACACAACATTAATTATCTTTTTAACAAGGAGGTTAGACAACAAGTTAATTGAAGCAATGCATTTCAAACTATTTTGTAAAGCAGATAAACACATAAAGGCACAGGCAAAAGACAACACAACTGTTATTTTTCATACTTTGTCAGTCGTTTGATTTCCTTCTTTGTTGCTTTCCCAAACCCTTTGCTGCAGCTGTTTCCAGCTGTTTACTCATGACCCTTTCTGCTTTCAGTTTTGTCTTCAGCTACTGAAATGCTGCTCAGTGAGATCCGGTGACAGACCTGGTCGTTGAAAGTACTAGTTTTATTTTTTCAAAAAGCTCCCAAAAAAGCTTTTACTGTATATTCTGGTCACTATCCAGCGGCCACACTGATCCAAACACTTTGCTGCATTAAGATGACTCTGAACAGAATATAACACTACGGACAGCAAAGTTTATCTTGTATGATTTCATTAGAGCCTTGTCGATTGGTCGAGATTATTTAGTTGGTGATATACTGGTATTCGGATTTATAATGGCCAATAAATGAAAATGAAAATGAAAACAGTAAAGAAGGGATGCAAAACAACCATGTAAAGAATGGTTTATCCACCAGAGGGCGGTCTGTAACTTAACCGTTAGCAACATGAGAGAAAGAAGGTGAAGACACCCAGCAAAGGACCGTGAGTCAGACTTCTTAAACTGCTGCACTGTTGTGTATAGTCACCTGCTCACCCACTGAGCCAAACAAGCAGCAGTGTTGTATTGCCCTTCTAAGGACTTATAAATGCGTGATGAATGGGCATGCATGTGATGCATGCATGCTCATGCATCTCACTGACACACTTTTATAAGGTATGTGGTACTATGCTTTGGATTATGAGCCGCTGTAAACCTTCTCCATACTTTTTTCTTCCTGTTCTTGTGTTACGGGTTTTAGTTTTATCTGTCTAAATAATGCAGTTAGAGAACTGCTCTTATTGATTCTTATGTTTTTAGCAATATGTCATCTTTCTTTCCTTTAGGCTCACACAGATGCTTTTCCCCCTGTGGCGAACCATTTGTATTTTCTCTATTTCTGCTTATGATAGACTGGGATAATGGCATGTTTACTTCCTGTTGAGCTTTCCTCACTTGGCTGGATATAAGATCATCCACCACTGTCGTCTTCTGTAGACCTCTAGGCCATTTCTGTTGCTGAGCTCACTACTGTTTTTCCTTTTTACAGAAGCATGAAACTTAATGTTGCAATTTTTGCATGGTTCTCATATATATGTTTTCCATGTCTTTCTGGATATTTTGATTTTTCTTTTAAAGTTGGAGAACTATGATTTACTTGAAACAGATTTTCTTTCAAATGCTTATCATAAAGAAATAAATCGGCCGCGATGAGTGAGTAAATGAAATATCCAGTTACATTTGAGCCCCTGAAAATGGTAAACGGTGTATAAGAATTATAAAAACTGCAGCTCTATTTAAAACACAGAGTACAAAACACAACCATGAAAAATGTGCCGCCCCCCCCCCCGAAAAAAAAAGAATAAAAGAAGACAATATTACGGTTGCCCTGAGAGGCCAAACGGACTGCAACTTCAGAAAACACTTGCAAGTGGTCCGTCCGGTTATTGTCTCCCCAGAAACATTTCCATTGTGTTGTGTGTGCTTTTGCAGCGTTTTTCTTTTTGCAGCATTTTTCTTTTTGCAAGTGTTTAGTAACTTACTGTGAGCCTCTAACGATTTAAAAGGAGCCATTTGGAGAAGCAAGTTTGTGACATTTTCTGCACAGCATGTGGATCAATATTTGCACAACCACAGAAATTTAAATCCCTTGATATTCACAGTAACTAGCTTAAAACATTTTTAAACTTAATCACCTGATCGCAATAACTCCTTTTCCCGTGTTTCTATGTGTTTCCTTTTACTTGTGTGTGCAGTCCAAGTGTTACCTCACTTATTATTTAATAGTGAGTTTTTTTAGTTTTTTAATTATATATATATATACATATACATATACATATATATATGTATGTGTATATATGTATGT